CTTTGGTTCTCCGCCATCCCCCGGACGCAACTCAATACGCAGTTCTCAGAATTATGGAAGGATCTACGAATACAAAAAAAAAAATGCTGATACTATGGTCTATGTCTCGCATAATGTTGAATAAAAATACCGCAGTATTGTTATATTATAGTAATGTTATACTATTGCCCCTATATAACATATTTCAAATAATATTTTTGGTGAATTTCAGCCGTCGTCTGTATGCTACTAACTCATCATCTCCAACATTGTTACGTTTTGGCTAGATTATCTTTTCTAGACGTTTCGCTTCGTACTATGTAGTTTACATTTCAAAACAAAATCAGGTTTCCAAAGAAGCTTTTTATCTTTTTCAGGGCTTTATGTTTTTCAAGATTTATAAAATTTTACTGCTAACCTTGTTATATTTCCTTGGGCAAATCAACTCTACATGATTCAGTTTCAAGTTGGCCTCGCTCGTTGAGGAGTTAAAAGGAGACTCTGCTCGCAGGGTACCAAGACATAATTCTGACCCAAACTGAGTACTAATATAATCTGGATACATCGAAAGAAGTTTATTTCAGTACATCATTATTTTCGACACAGAGCTTAATACCGTTTTCAACACTTCAGTAAGTTTAGCATATGTGCAAAAGCAGTAAAAAATATCGAGTATAAATGTTCTAGACATTTTGGTCTTGGCTGTTATCAATCTGAATTTTGAATACAATTGATAGCGATGCGGAAACGAGCGCATGCAAGAATACAAAGTTCGGATCGCTTTTCATAATGTTCTGCTTATTTCGTTTAATCATTTTTGACCTCAGTTTCAAGCCAAGTTTCTTTCTTATCTTATTTTAGCGTTTTCGAAGAAATACTTAGGGCGTAAGTCGTAAGAGTGTCTTATTTCCATATTGTCACAGATATCAACACTACTGACGTCAAGCTGCTTTCTTCAAAGGGAAAGGGCATGAACCCGAATATAAACAGAATAACTAATCCAATCAGCTCGGTGACTGATGTATAGTCGAATTCTTAGAAATACGGGAAGCATTTGAATTCAGTTCTTCAAATCCCGGTTAAATATAAACATCGCTTTCTTTTAAATTAACTGGGGAGGGAGCGTTGCGTGACGACCGACACTAAAAACGGCTGCGAGGGAGACTAAACGTTCGTTGGAATGTATTGTTTTCGTTCTACTGATTTGATTGGTTCATGTTATGATAGTCGCACTGTCATATTAAAAATATACAAGACAAACAAACCACATGGTAGTATAGCCCTTCACAAGAGCTAGATGGTGGTAATAGATATAATATTGCTTGCCTGACAATACATGAGAACGAACATAAGCAATAAGTAATCAAGTGGTTAAAAATATTATCAATGTCGAGGGGTTTGAATCCAATAAACAATTTAAACATACTAGAAAGTTGCACAAAATAAATAGCATCCGGATAGGATGCAATTCAAGCCTTGGTCCAATTCACCGGCATAAATTCATTCAAAATTTGAATCCAAATACAGCCATTTGCAAAAATTATGGCCGTTTCAAATATACATACAGGTATATCAAAAGTATATCAGACACGTTGGGATATTTTTCTTGGTATTTTTTTAGGAAAGCCCAAGTGATTGACAACTCGAAATGAATATCAGGGATCGCCCCTGCGTTAGAATGACCATGGTACCATGGTTTTTCATTGCCAACCATGGTCAACCATGTTTTGACTATGGTCTAACCATGGTGGCTGACCATGATCAGAAAATAATGATGACCATGGCACACCGTCAACCATGGTCAAAAGACATTTGATTTGATTTTATCAAAAAAAGACATAAATTGATATAAATATGGGAAAATATAAGAAACAAAAGCTAAAAATGGCTTTTCAAATATTCTAAATTAATTTAATTTGCATTTATTTCATGACCATGTTCCACAGTCAACCACAGTCAAAGTATATTAATGATGACCATGGCACACAGTCAACCATGGTCAAACAACATTTTGTTTGATTTTACCCAAAAAAAGACATAAATTAATTTAAATATAAGAAAAAATAAGGAACAAAAGCTAAAATCAATGTTTAAATATTTTAGATATGTTTAATTTGTATTCATTATCATGACCATGCTACACTGTCAACCATGGTCAAAGTTTATTATAATGA